TATTATATGTAGGGCAAAACGACTGGTCTTTCATCTGAGCCCGCGAGATGGTCATGTGATAATTGTCAGCGGATGTCTGATTTTGACAGCTGTCAATCTAATTGTACTCATACGGATGGCTTACAAAACTGAAAGGCTAGTCAAGTTGTGCAAGATCTATTGTGACATTTGACATCGGCTTACATGAAGTGTGTGTACGGACGGGCGGGCGTACGCTACGTCATAACCAAATTTTCTCGGATGGATAGTTTACCAAATTTTGTTACCCATGGTGCTCCGCTGCGCGCGCTTCGCGCGCGGGAGCTCCGCTACAAATGGGCAACAATTAGATAGATAAGAGAGAAAACAATTATAAGCAATACCACGGATACCATATGAATATAATTTGGCTAACAAGATGTTATGGCCAGCTGTCTCAAATACTTTACATAGATCAAGGAATATGCCACAAGTGAAATGACCAATTGCTTCAATTGCTGTCTGTATTTGGTCAGTTATTAACAGAAGGCATGTTCAGTAGAGTGATTGGCACGAAAACCAAACTGACCGGAGAAAATTATATTATGCTTATCTAAATATATCATTAGCCTATTATACATTAACTTTTTCCAGAATTTGATTAAGGATTGACAGTAGAGATATTAGTCTGTAATTTGTTAGTGACAAACGAGATCCAGCCTTGTAAACAAGTATGAGACGTACAATTTTCAACGCATCAGGAACAGTGTTGGAGGAAAATACGAAATTATCTTAAATCTCAAAAGGCTTTAAGATCACTAACTTTAAAATCTTAAGAACAGGAACAGGAAGGCTAGAGGGACCAAATACTTTCCCAGATCTAAGGCAAGAAATAATCTCTTGAATTTCCTGTACAGATGTACAACTGTTAGAAGGACTTTCGGCCACCTTAAATATCCCTCCGAATAGTGAGAAATCTAGTGCGAAACCTTTTTCACTTTAAACCTAACATCTCAGCTGAGAGAATATTAGGAAACTCCGAATAACCATTATTTGTACGGTAACTGTTAATGTCCTGTATTCCGTGTAGTTTCGTTTTGATTTATGTTTGTGTATAACATAACTATGTTTAACTTTACTATGTGTGTCCTTTTTTTCTAGTAACTTGTCGTTCTTATACAGACTAAATCTGTTATTACCAGACTCTGTATTTTCGGGGGCTGAAGAGGAACGACGGCATCGGAATAATGTATATTTTTTTATTAAAATGATGAAATAATGCCTTTTAAGGGTTGGAACCCTTCGAAAAGGAATAATGAAATTATGCCCTTCTAGGACTGGAAAAACGGAATAACGAACACTTTAGAGAACGAATAATGCCTTTTCAGGGATTGGAATAATGGAATATATTGAAAATTTTTCACAGGGAATAATAGGATAATTAATCGCCGCTTATTCCTCCTCACTTTGCCTGATTAATTCCATTCGTGCAGCTAAGAAGCTATCTCCATTCTGTTCCCTTAAGTCTGTAACGCATTAACGCATACAAACCTGCGCGTTTAATGCTCCAACCTACGCGTGAACGTAAGTTTTCCTAAAGAGCCCTCAGAATGGATTAGTGCAAATACGGATGAATATCGGTATCGTGTGAACGAATAGGTTTGCATGCGCTTAAAGACGGTCTCGTGTGGAGATGGCCTTAAATTCTTTGTACGCACGTCTGACTTGAAATGTCTGGGAGTCTCTTTATAGCAATGACCCATCAATTCCTTTTCTTTCAAGAAAAATATTATGGTATGTTGAATTCTAGTGAACGACGATGATGAAGAATTTAATCTCATTCGGCCATCGCTGATCCAGCAGTTGAAAACCATTCTAGATCAGTACCCTGACGATGGACAGATTTTGAAGGTAAGAAATGTGGAAGGCTTAAGGAGACCTGAGTATCTGTTTAAAGAGAGGTATTTCTTTTCACCTTCTTGTATTTTCGTTTTCTGAGTAATATCAGAAGTTGGGATAATCTAACAAGGAGAACCTCTTTAACATTGGGCTTGATGAGATGCGACGTGAAGAGTTTAGATAAGTATGACGAGACGCAATGAGATGGGATGAAATGGTAAAAGATAAGATGAAGTGATGTGAAACGGATGGGCTATGCGATGATTTTGCCATGGAGAGAAAGACAGAAGGAAAATGAGATGCGATTAGATGAGACAAGAGATAGCATTGGATGGTTTACTAAGTGAGATGAGATAAGATTAATCAATCGGTTAAAAAAAAATCAAAATCAAAATTAGTAGTAATGTCTAACTAGATGCTATAAAGTGGAGTTAGAACTGTGCATCCGGAGAGTTTATGTTTAATATATTAGAAGAAGTGGATCCGTTATAAAGATACTCATTGACAAATTGAGCCGTTTAAGCTCCTCTTTTTTTGATGTGCATTTGTGTATTAGGAGCTCATCCAAAATGCCGAGGATGCGGGAGCAACTCACGTAAAATTCCTCCATGATCGGCACAGCTATGGAACAGAGAAACTGCATAGTGAAGGACTTGCCCAGTTCCAGGTAATCAGTGAATGTTGTCGTAAACTCTCAGAAGGAATGATTTTTTTTGTGTTTTCGTTTCACTCCTCCTGTAAGATTTATTTTTTTATCAGGCAAGGGGTTTCGCATTATGCCCCCTCCCCTTTATTAGTTTTCTAACTCCGTTCCTCACCGAAGAATTTACCCACAGGTCACAGGTGAGTGTCGTCTTCAGAATGTCTTCCGGCGTAATGGTCCATATTTACAAAAGATATAAACCTTAAAAAAAGACAGTCGTACTATATTTGCGTTTTTATTCTATTTAGTGAGCAGTTCCTTACGACTGGATATCACTTAACTGTGTGAAGATACTGTGAGTCAGATTTGAGCACCCGAAAGACTGCAACTCTTAGGCATATTGCGATATGGGCAGCAAGCCCACTCTCCTATTCGACGATGTAAAAGAGACTCCTCATGTCAAAACGTCGGCTCTGGGTTGTGTTTTACTTCGCATGGTGTTCTACATTTACAACTTTAATCTATAACTGTTTCCCATTACATACATTAGATGTTTCTTATCATTTTAATTAATGTTCACTAGGGCTCAGCACTCTACGCCTACAACAACGCCGAGTTCACCAAAGAGGACTGGAAAGGTATCAGGATGCTCTGTGACAGTATAAAAGTCAAAGATCCAATGAAAGTTGGTCGGTTTGGTCTCGGTTTCAAATCGGTTTTTCACGTCACAGGTGAGATAACTATTATGTATTAGAGACCTTTAGCATCAGGTTTTTCATGGAAAACCGCAAACCGCAGTGTCACGTGACCACGGCCTTGCGGTCACGTTTGCAGCTTGCAGCTCACGTTTGAACCGCAGGAAGGGCTTCCAGCGGTAAGTGATTTACGGCAAGGTTTTCTTGCCGCCAAAAATTGTACAGCCTCCCGTTTAAAGGCACGAACTAGCTTTTTTATATCCGTTTGCGAGGTGTTTGGTGGATTTTTGATCTCGAATCAATGAATTATTCCTGTTTTTTGGGCGATTAAATTGATGCATTTCGACTTGATGAAAAACAACATGGCGGCACTAAACAATGAACGCGTAGTTCAAATCGATTTTATATTCCTTTCTGTCTTACTAACATAAGAACGTTTTCTGTTCCAATCCAGAGTTAATTTTTTCTTCTATGTTGTTACTGAATTCATAACTTAACTCAGTCTCTGTTAAATCTGTATAGTTCCTATTTTTAACGTATCACTCCGCGAATTTCATTTTATTTTCCTTATTTCTTTGTGACTGGGAAGCCCAGACTTTATAAGTCTTCTGCTTTCTTCCGGCCTCCCTTAATTGCAACCTTACAATTCCTATATGTATTCTCGTATTGTATTATATTTTGGCTAAATAAAAATGAACTGAACTGAACTGAACGCCTTGCTAAAATTTGAAATCTCGGCAACGTGAAACTGCAAACGCCTAACTGCAAACTGCGGTCTGGGGTTTTCAATGAAAAACCTGATGCGAAAGGTCTCTATTTATCAGACCTCGACTGATCATGTTGTAATTAATGGCAGCAAAAGCTGACTGAATTAATCATTACTTATTCCAAAGGTCATTACTGTTCATTACATTATTGAACAAAGCACAATTATATATTATTAACAGTCGGCATCAGTGGGGTTCTTTTCTACCACTTCGTACATTTAACCTATCGCCCACAAAGATGCCAAGACTTTCTCAGTTTTACGACACTGGCTTTTGGGGAAAACCACCGGACGGCTTGGCATTCTGGCAGCACATTAAACAAAAGGGGGGGGGGCATTTTTATACGGCCGATTGAAAGAATAAGCCTTACCCTATTTATTTCTCATTCACCTGATATGGGTAAATGATTGGTTTTTGTAGTCTCTTTTGGTGATAAAATTGCGCTCGCATTCGTTAGTTTTTAATGTGTACAATACAAAGTTTAAATTAAACATCAAATCGATTAAAGTTTAAATTCATAGGCAGTGAGCAGGGGGGAGGGGGTTTCCGTAGCCCCCACGAACAAAACTTCGGAGGTCATAGCACCCCACGTCTTGGTGCCGAAAACATGGCTAGTACAGCATAAAAATTGGCAGCATATTCAGTGTCGAATGTAAATCTCAAGAACCACCTAAGAGGCACCATGAAGCAGCACCGCCGGAACAACTGCCTACTGATGCATTGGCACAAATCCATTACGGACGTATTAGACGCTGTGAAGATTGCAAAGAGGTTTGCTTGTACCAATGAAAAACGCAAAGTGCATTTTGAAAAATTTGAGTAACGGTTCGCACAAGGCTGAGTGAAGGATGAGCACGGCCCCCGCTTCGAAACGCCACGCGGCGTCTGAAATCCACATCCTGGCTAAAGTTCAAAACTGTCTGAATTTTTGAACAAAATACCCCGGCCTTAGAATCATTCTTTCTATGGGATTAAAATAATACCGTCAACTTCCCATTAGAAGCCCTGGGCTTAGACAACTCCGTAAGGAGGTATCAGGAGGGCTTATTCAGATACAAACAAGGGGGGCGTATAACCAGACTAAAAAACTATCTCAAAACAAACTACTTAGCGGTGCTGATCAAAATACTTTTTTGAATTTGATGATCGCTTTTTTTTTAAGTTTCAAAGCGTCGTTAAAAGTTGAATTCATTTCAATACGTGTTAAAGGGGGACTTATAACCAGGTGCATTTTTTTGTTTACGGGTAGTTTGGCTGTATATAGGGGGTGGGGGACGTTTTAGGTATGCTCTTTCGTGTGTTTGGTTTTGTTACACCGACTTGTAACACCCTGACGTCTTTATTCGTAACATCTAACCTGGACGCCATCCTCGCCCTCAGATGTGCAGAACGTTGCCGTAGCAATGTTGTAATGTCGCACATGCAATCATAAATTCACACCGAAATTTCGCGCCAAAATTAAGAGGTAATGTTTTCAGCCATGATATTATAGCCTTAATGTTTTACTTCATTTATTTTTTCTTCTTCATTTTTGTAGATCTACCGAGTATATTAAGCGGTTCACAGATCGGTGTTATAGACCCACACGAGGAGTACTTTACCGAAGGGAGAAATCGACGAACAGGTTACAGCTGGAGAATGAAGAATGATCGTCACGTCATGGACAATATACCAGACCAGTTTGCCCCTTACAAAGGAATATTTGAATGTACAGATGATGTTTTCTCCAGAGGCTGTTACAACGGTACTCTATTTCGCTTTCCACTACGACACCGACCCTCTGACCTTTCTCCGACTCTCTACTCCGCTGAAAAGGTGCACACATTATTTGAGGGATTCATGGCTGACGCACACGTAATCCTCCTTTTCTTGCAACATCTGGAATTTATCGAGCTGTACGTCCGTGAGGAACACGACGATCAACCAAGAAAAACGTTTCAAGTTGGAATCACAGATGAAAGCCTTCGTTTGGTGCGAGAGAAGAGGAAGGAGTTTCACAACAAAATCTCCACTGGCAGTCTTTTGCCCCATCCTGTCCAAGTAACCTATCCGATAAACGTTGAGACTGTACACTTTTCTAAAGGCTCAGAAACCACCAGACAGAGTCATTCGTTTCTTGTAACCAACTACTTTTGTGGCCAGGAGGTATCGTCTGACTTTCAAACCCTGGCTCAAGATCAAAGCCTTAGCTACTTACCCTTAGTTGGTGTTGCCATGGCATTACCAACAAGTCCCAGTGAACCTACTCCGGAGATTCAAGGCCACGTGTTTTGTTTTTTACCGTTACCAGTTCAAAAGACAAGCCTGACAGGTTTGCCGGTTCATGTGAATGGCTTCTTTGCCTTGAGTCAGAACAGACGTTATATCAAGTCTCCAAACGCAGAACAGGAAGATCAGGAGCTAACTGACAAGTCCCTCCTATGGAATAGGTGTCTTTTGAAGGAAGCTCTACCCAAGGCATATGCAACGATGCTACTAGAAGCCATCAACGAGAAGAGTTACAATATACAAGAAGAGACCGTTTACAGGTAAGGCTAAAATGTGTTAGCCTCTATGAAATAAAATACTTTAGATACTTTATTGGCGGAAAAGGGAAACCAATTGCGAGAGGATAGTATTTCTTTAGCTACTTCTGCCTGGAACACCTCATTCTCACGCAAAGTACGACTATGCACTTGGAATATAGAGGACATTTTTTTCGATTGTCTCGGCCCTTACATTCTAATTTTTACGATATAAAACCTTTTTTGGCCGCCCATACAGCTAAAAAGTTTGGTTCACGCTCAACACGCCATAAAATTCAGGGATGCCCCAGGTTTCGATCACAGAGGTGGGCAGCAAAAACCTGTTGCTGTCAATATTGACATAAGGTCTTAGGTTCTGGTGCAATGGTACGTTAACTAATTGCAGTTCCCGAATGCTGTATTCTATAGGGCATGGCCTAATATCGACGCCATCGACCAGAAATGGAAGAGATTGCAGAATCCCTTACTCGAGATCTTATGCTCTGCAAATGTTGTATACACTAAGGCTAATGGAGGGAAGTGGCTGAAAGTGGAAGACGCTGTCTTAGACACACTTGATGAACACCAGCCGAAGGATTTGCTCGTCAGTGTGTTGCTAGAAGGACATCAAAATGTGGCCTCCTTGCCCGACCATGTGTTAAAGGCTTTTACCGCGGTCAGCAATAAACCATTTATTAAAGAGATTACTCCCATGTTGGTGAGGCAAATCCTCAAGGAAAGTCTTTCAAGCTACAGGAACCATGGGCGAATGGAGAAGTTGAAACTTTTAGCGTTCATCCTAAACTGTATAGACGAGAACTTCGCAGACCTAGTTGGACTGGAGCTGCTGCCCGTATCCAATGGTGCCTTCAAATGCTTTGCATCCCCCTCAAACTGTGACGAAGCAGTTTATGTCTGCTCACCCGATCATCCAAGGAAAATGTTTCCTTGTCTAGACCACCAGTTCCTGGATCAAAACCTGGACCAAAATCTTTTGGAAATTATGGAGAAAGTTGCAAAGAAAGGTATGAACAATACGAGAATGTTGTGAAATTTGTCTACAGCTGATTCAAAGCTTCAGCTAAGAAAATGTTAGAGTTATACTACTGTTCTGGGACTGACAATTATATTTCGCTCTGCCCCACTGATCAGTGCTGTGAGGAATAGTCGTACTGGTACAACGTTTCGTTAAAAATAACCAAAAAATTTCATTTTAACATACCCAGCATCTAATCCTTCCTTTTTGTATTGAGTTATTCCCAAGAACACAATAGATTTTAGTAATAAAATTAAGGAAATATTAAAAAAGATAAAGACGCACAAGAGCTGAAGGCCCAAACGGTCGGACGNGTATGTCGCCGGTACCCATTTATACACCTGGGTGAGGAGAGAGAAAGTGGAGTAAAGTTCCTTATCTAAGGATACGACGCGACGGGCGAGGCTTAGGGAATAGGGAATAGAAAGAAAGACTATAACAGCCGGTGGGTGACAGTGTTAATTTCAGGTCAGGAAATTCAGAGAATTCCGAGAAACATGCATTTTTGTTCTTTCACTAACTCTTGGCGAGCTTTGATTAAAACAGTTAAACCTTCTTAGTAAAGAAGACGTGGCTTCCCTTCTCTCAAATTCGTTGCCACCAGAGTGGTCACAAGGAGAGACAATTTTGTGGTATCATGGATCAGATTCCTACAACCATCCAGGATTAGATTGGCTTAAGCTCGTGTGGAATTACTTAAGGACGAACTTCGCCTCGAAAGATGAGCTCCGCGGGTTCACAGGTCTCCCCTTGATTCCACATGACGTATCACAAGAACCAATCAGCCTTGCTAGACTTCAACAGCCTTCTAGGATAGTTGTGAAAAGTCTCTACGATAAATTTCTCGATGAAACGCTGATTCAGTTCTTGAGAGTCCTTGGTCTAGTTATCATTCAAGAGTGTCCATATTACCTAACCCTTCACCCCGCGGTCATCAATGCATTTATTTACCCGCCATCACCACATGGTGTCTTAAAGGCGCTGTCGGCTTGCTCATCGGTTGTAGGATCTAACAAGCATTCACTGACAGACGAAGGCAAACGCTCCTTAAGGAAGTTCTTTTCAAAGGAATCTTCGCTAGAACCCCAAGCAAAGCAGCTTCTCCGTACCCTTCCTTTGTTTGAGACGCTAAACAAATGTTTTGTTTCTGGGGAGGAAGATCTTTGTGCAGCACCACCAGAAGGTTCTTATCCTGTACCTCCTCGGAGGGTTCTCATTGACGTCACACACGACGACTCAAAGAGGTTGGCGCATCTGCTAGACATCAGATGCTTATCACCAACAGAATTTTTTCTTGAAGTTGTATTTCCAGATGTCAGAGGAGGAAATTATTCTAATGAAGAGGTCGACCAGGTTATGGGATTCGTTATGGAGCGGTTTCAAGTTTACGCCAGGGAAGATCCTCGATTTGAAGAAGCGCTTACAAATTTGCCATTTGTACCGAGTGAAAGTAGACGGGAAAGAGCTATGGACTTGTTCGATCCCGGGATTGAGTTGCTGAAACGAATGCTCGCCGAAGAAGATGTTTTTCCAGTTGGTGAACAGTATACGAACCCCACATCCCTCGTGGTTCTCAAGAAACTTGGTATAAAAAGTGAAAAGGAAATTAGTGCAGAAGATCTGTACCGCAGTGCCAGAAAGATCTCTCAAATGCCAAATTTGGACGAAGCAAAGAAAAAATCGGCAACCATTTTGTCATATTTAGACAGTAATTCAACGAAGCTTCAACAAACTGTTTCTGGGGTAACGTTGACACAACTTTTGCGAGACGTTCCATGGGTATCAGAAGTGAAAGAAAGGCCCTTCGGTGGTCCCGTTAGCTTTTACTCAACTGAAGAAACAAGTAAACGCCACTTTTACAAACCAACGGAAGTAACAAGTGACGATAAAGTTAATCTCATCGGAACAGTAAAGCCCATTGTAACAGTAGATTCTTCAAGTCAATTAGCAAAATGTTTCGACTGGGATAAGATGCCGGAAGCATTAGACGTGGTGCAACATCTTAGAAGTGTGGTCGCTCACTATACCCAGGATAAAAAGCCCTACTATATTTCAGTTGTCAAGGACATTTACTCATTTCTAGATCAGATCGCTGATTTTCAAGTTATCAAGGAAGCTTTGCAGGGAACTGAAAACTCGATCTGGATTTGGAATGGAGATGGTTTTTCTTCTCCTGATGTTGTCCTTTCCGTAAGGCCTCCAATCGATCTTACTCCGTACGTTTGTTCTCTTCCCTCAGAGGTGCTGCAGTTTTCAAGCTTTTTTTCGAAGTTCGGAATGAGAGAGCACTGCGATGCTCTGCTTTTTGTACAAGTTCTTCAACTGATAAAACAGAAGTATGAATCTGGAGACGAGTATCCAAGCACGGAGGTAAAAAGAGATCTCCAGTTATCTGTAGACATTTTGAATGAGATTAAGCCAAACGTTGGAGAACAACTACCTTCAGAGATTCAAGAGAAAGTCCTCATCCCAACACACGTAGAAGGAGATTCCTACGTAAGGCTTGCACCAATTAAAGATTGCATCTACTGTGACCGCGAGTGGCTAGAAGATGGTATACCTGCTGAAGAAGAAAATCATTGCTTTTTTGTGCATCAAAACATCTCAAATAGTACTGCAGAACTTTTACAAGTTCGTACTCTTAGAAATCAATTATTGGAAGCTGATGAGATAGGAGATGAATTTGGTCAAGAAGAAAAACTCACTTGCAGATTAAACAAACTTCTGGAGGAATACACAGATGGTTTCTCAGTACCAAAGGAACTAATCCAGAACGCAGATGATGCTGGTGCCACTGAGGTCAGATTTCTTTACGACGAAAGAACCAATGAAGATGCTATGACCTGTCTGATTGACGAAGGAATGAAAGAATGCCAGGGTCCTGCTTTGTGGGTTTACAACAACGCTGAGTTTAGGGATGAGGATTTTGAAAACATTACTAAACTCAACGGTGGCACAAAAAAACAAGAAACCGACAAAATTGGAAAGTTTGGGCTTGGTTTTAATACGGTCTATAATCTGACGGACGTTCCTATGTTCCTTAGCAGAAACTACTTTGTGATTTTTGATCCCAACACCTTTTATCTTGGAAGAGCCATCACAAACAAGAGCAAACCAGGAATAAAAATTGACGTCAACAAGAATCCGGAGAGAAAGCGAAGGCTTAGAAACCAATTCAAACCTTTCAATGGCATCTTTGGGTGTGATCTTCGTTTGAACAAAAAGGACAACTCATTTCAAGGTACCCTCTTTCGCTTCCCATTGCGAACTAAGAGGCAAGCTGTCAGAAGCGAAATTAAGCAAGATTATTACGGCCACAACCAAGTGAGGGAGCTATTAGAGATTTTCGTTCGCGGGGCGAAAACGTTGCTCTTGTTTGCGCAAAATGTCCGTCAAGTCAGCATATTTCATTTGCCGAGAGAGTCAACAGGGCAGACACAACCCCAACTGATATTTCAGGTGACCAAGGAATTATCACACTCAGGAATCATGAGAGAGTTGTCTGTTCCCATGAAGCTGTCATTGCATCAGAGCAATGTTAGCACAGACGACTTACAACTTTTAAAACAATCTAACTTTCTACGAGCATCATCGCAAGTTTTAAAGCATACTAAGGATATGAAGGAAACCAATGACTATTTACTGAGGTCAGCGATCACAATCAACGTAAAAGGCACCCTAACTGAAAGCGGACGCGTATTCTTTGAGGACAAAATCTCGCTGCATAATTCATCCGAGCTTTGGTTTGTTGCCTCATCGATGGGCAAAGGCCAAGCGATGCAGTTTTCAGTGAATGACAGGAGCTTGCTCCCAGCAGCTGCAGTTGCTGTCAGGTTGTTACCTCAGGAGAGTCAGAAGTTTGTACCGGAACCTATTGTCAGTCACGCCACTGGAGGTAAATCGCATCATAACGGTTCAGTGTTCTGCTACCTTCCACTCCCAATTCACAGTGGTCTCCCAGTTCATATAAATGGAACATTTGCAGTAGCTTCGAACAGACGCCATTTGAAGCAGAAAACAGAGGACGACAAAGCCTGCCCTGAAGATGAGTGGAATAATGTTCTGTTTCAAGATTCTGTATGTACCGCCTACCTAGATCTTCTGGAAGACATGAAAACTAATGCTACTACGTACTGTTTTCACTCTCTGTGGCCCAGGTCGTGTGACATAGAGCCATATTTTGAACCACTTGCGCGTTCGTTCTATCAGAAAGTTGCTAGTGGAGGCTATTCCCTTTTCTCAGATGGAGACACTTGGGTGGGCATCAATCAAGTGGTCTTTCTGGAGCCAAACTTTCGTCATGATCAACGGGTTGGAGACATATCAGTCGCAGTATTACAGAAGATGGTCATTGAAAAAGACGTTGTCGTTGATCTACCAGTAGAAATTTTACAGTCATTTATTGCCTATGGTCTTAGGGAGAAAATCCAATTGAAAGCCTACGACAGAAGTAGGTTTTTCCGTGAACTGTTTTTCCCAAACATTGGCTCCGTAACGGCAGACAAACGAGATGAATTGATGTTATTTGCATTGGATGACTCAAATGGAGAATTCGATGAATTAATAAAAACCTATGCCTGCATTCCGGCTTCACCCAGTGGTAAAATCCTCAAACGCCCAATGGAACTTGTTCACCCAAACAAATCAGCAGCCTCGCTATTTCATAGCGAAGATGAAAGGTTTCCTTATGGAACTACTAAGACCTTCTTAGATTCTGTGAGACTTGCAAAACTTGAAAAACTTGGAATGAAGGCTGAAAAGGGAATCACTGCAGATGATATCTACGACAGTGCCAACAATATTCGTCGAATGTTAAAGTCTTCGGAAGCAAAGCAGAAATCAGAGAACATTATGACGTTCTTAGAAAGCAATCCGATGATTCTTCGACAAAATGTTTCTGGGGAACCGTTAGCACTTCTTCTGCGAGATATGCCTTGGATATCTGTAATGGAGGAAATGCCCTATGGTTTACCTAGAAGTCTTTATTCACTTGTAAAAGATCAAGAAGTCCCTTTCTACAAGCCCACAGAGGTCACAAGTAACGATAAAGTAAATCTCGTTGGAACAGTGAAGCCAATTGTAAGAGCAGATTCATCAAGTCACTTGGCAAATTGTTTTGGCTGGGATAAAATGCCAGACGCATTGGACGTGGTGCAACATTTGAAAACTGTGGTCACTCACTATACCCAGGATAAAAAGCCCTATTACATTTCAATTGTCAAGGACATCTACTCCTTTCTAGATCAGATCGCCGATTTTGAAGTTATCAAGGAAGCTTTGAAGGGAATTGAAAACTCGATCTGGATTTGGAATGGAGATGGTTTTTCTTCTCCTGATGTGGTCCTTTCCGCAAGGCCTCCAATCGATCTTACTCCGTACATTTGTTCTCTTCCCTCAGAGGTGCTGCAGTTTTCAAACTTGTTTTCGAAGTTCGGAATGAGAGAGCATTGCGATGCTCTGCTTTTTGTACAAGTTCTTCAACTGATAAAACAGAAGTATGAATCTGGAGACGAGTATCCAAACACGGAGGTAAAAAGAGATCTCCAGTTATCTGTAGACATTTTGAATGAGATTAAGCCAAACGTTGGAGAACAACTACCTTCAGAGATTCAAGAGAAAGTCCTCATCCCAACACACGTAGAAGGAGATTCCTACGTAAGGCTTGCACCAATTAAAGATTGCATCTACTGTGACCGCGAGTGGCTAGAAGATGGTATACCTGCTGAAGAAGAAAATCATTGCTTTTTTGTGCATCAAAACATCTCAAATAGTACTGCAGAACTTTTACAAGTTCGTACTCTTAGAAATCAATTATTGGAAGCTGATGAGATAGGAGATGAATTTGGTCAAGAAGAAAAACTCACTTGCAGATTAAACAAACTTCTGGAGGAATACACAGATGGTTTCTCAGTACCAAAGGAACTAATCCAGAACGCAGATGATGCTGGTGCCACTGAGGTCAGATTTCTTTACGACGAAAGAACCAATGAAGATGCTATGACCTGTCTGATTGACGAAGGAATGAAAGAATGCCAGGGTCCTGCTTTGTGGGTTTACAACAACGCTGAGTTTAGGGATGAGGATTTTGAAAACATTACTAAACTCAACGGTGGCACAAAAAAACAAGAAACCGACAAAATTGGAAAGTTTGGGCTTGGTTTTAATACGGTCTATAATCTGACGGACGTTCCTATGTTCCTTAGCAGAAACTACTTTGTGATTTTTGATCCCAACACCTTTTATCTTGGAAGAGCCATCACAAACAAGAGCAAACCAGGAATAAAAATTGACGTCAACAAGAATCCGGAGAGAAAGCGAAGGCTTAGAAACCAATTCAAACCTTTCAATGGCATCTTTGGGTGTGATCTTCGTTTGAACAAAAAGGACAACTCATTTCAAGGTACCCTCTTTCGCTTCCCATTGCGAACTAAGAGGCAAGCTGTCAGAAGCGAAATTAAGCAAGATTATTACGGCCACAACCAAGTGAGGGAGCTATTAGAGATTTTCGTTCGCGGGGCGAAAACGTTGCTCTTGTTTGCGCAAAATGTCCGTCAAGTCAGCATATTTCATTTGCCGAGAGAGTCAACAGGGCAGACACAACCCCAACTGATATTTCAGGTGACCAAGGAATTATCACACTCAGGAATCATGAGAGAGTTGTCTGTTCCCATGAAGCTGTCATTGCATCAGAGCAATGTTAGCACAGACGACTTACAACTTTTAAAACAATCTAACTTTCTACGAGCATCATCGCAAGTTTTAAAGCATACTAAGGATATGAAGGAAACCAATGACTATTTACTGAGGTCAGCGATCACAATCAACGTAAAAGGCACCCTAACTGAAAGCGGACGCGTATTCTTTGAGGACAAAATCTCGCTGCATAATTCATCCGAGCTTTGGTTTGTTGCCTCATCGATGGGCAAAGGCCAAGCGATGCAGTTTTCAGTGAATGACAGGAGCTTGCTCCCAGCAGCTGCAGTTGCTGTCAGGTTGTTACCTCAGGAGAGTCAGAAGTTTGTACCGGAACCTATTGTCAGTCACGCCACTGGAGGTAAATCGCATCATAACGGTTCAGTGTTCTGCTACCTTCCACTCCCAATTCACAGTGGTCTCCCAGTTCATATAAATGGAACATTTGCAGTAGCTTCGAACAGACGCCATTTGAAGCAGAAAACAGAGGACGACAAAGCCTGCCCTGAAGATGAGTGGAATAATGTTCTGTTTCAAGATTCTGTATGTACCGCCTACCTAGATCTTCTGGAAGACATGAAAACTAATGCTACTACGTACTGTTTTCACTCTCTGTGGCCCAGGTCGTGTGACATAGAGCCATATTTTGAACCACTTGCGCGTTCGTTCTATCAGAAAGTTGCTAGTGGAGGCTATTCCCTTTTCTCAGATGGAGACACTTGGGTGGGCATCAATCAAGTGGTCTTTCTGGAGCCAAACTTTCGTCATGATCAACGGGTTGGAGACATATCAGTCGCAGTATTACAGAAGATGGTCATTGAAAAAGACGTTGTCGTTGATCTACCAGTAGAAATTTTACAGTCATTTATTGCCTATGGTCTTAGGGAGAAAATCCAATTGAAAGCCTACGACAGAAGTAGGTTTTTCCGTGAACTGTTTTTCCCAAACATTGGCTCCGTAACGGCAGACAAACGAGATGAATTGATGTTATTTGCATTGGATGACTCAAATGGAGAATTCGATGAATTAATAAAAACCTATGCCTGCATTCCGGCTTCACCCAGTGGTAAAATCCTCAAACGCCCAATGGAACTTGTTCACCCAAACAAATCAGCAGCCTCGCTATTTCATAGCGAAGATGAAAGGTTTCCTTATGGAACTACTAAGACCTTCTTAGATTCTGTGAGACTTGCAAAACTTGAAAAACTTGGAATGAAGGCTGAAAAGGGAATCACTGCAGATGATATCTACGACAGTGCCAACAATATTCGTCGAATGTTAAAGTCTTCGGAAGCAAAGCAGAAATCAGAGAACATTATGACGTTCTTAGAAAGCAATCCGATGATTCTTCGACAAAATGTTTCTGGGGAACCGTTAGCACTTCTTCTGCGAGATATGCCTTGGATATCTGTAATGGAGGAAATGCCCTATGGTTTACCTAGAAGTCTTTATTCACTTGTAAAAGATCAAGAAGTCCCTTTCTACAAGCCCACAGAGGTCACAAGTAACGATAAAGTAAATCTCGTTGGAACAGTGAAGCCAATTGTAAGAGCAGATTCATCAAGTCACTTGGCAAATTGTTTTGGCTGGGATAAAATGCCAGACGCATTGGACGTGGTGCAACATTTGAAAACTGTGGTCACTCACTATACCCAGGATAAAAAGCCCTATTACATTTCAATTGTCAAGGACATCTACTCCTTTCTAGATCAGATCGCCGATTTTGAAGTTATCAAGGAAGCTTTGAAGGGAATTGAAAACTCGATCTGGATTTGGAATGGAGATGGTTTTTCTTCTCCTGATGTGGTCCTTTCCGCAAGGCCTCCAATCGATCTTACTCCGTACATTTGTTCTCTTCCCTCAGAGGTGCTGCAGTTTTCAAACTTGTTTTCGAAGTTCGGAATGAGAGAGCATTGCGATGCTCTGCTTTTTGTACAAGTTCTTCAACTGATAAAACAGAAGTATGAATCTGGAGACGAGTATCCAAACACGGAGGTAAAAAGAGATCTCCAGTTATCTGTAGACATTTTGAATGAGATTAAGCCAAACGTTGGAGAACAACTACCTTCAGAGATTCAAGAGAAAGTCCTCATCCCAACACACGTAGAAGGAGATTCCTACGTAAGGCTTGCACCAATTAAAGATTGCATCTACTGTGACCGCGAGTGGCTAGAAGATGGTATACCTGCTGAAGAAGAAAATCATTGCTTTTTTGTGCATCAAAACATCTCAAATAGTACTGCAGAACTTTTACAAGTTCGTACTCTTAGAAATCAATTATTGGAAGCTGATGAGATAGGAGATGAATTTGGTCAAGAAGAAAAACTCACTTGCAGATTAAACAAACTTCTGGAGGAATACACAGATGGTTTCTCAGTACCAAAGGAACTAATCCAGAACGCAGATGATGCTGGTGCCACTGAGGTCAGATTTCTTTACGACGAAAGAACCAATGAAGATGCTATGACCTGTCTGATTGACGAAGGAATGAAAGAATGCCAGGGTCCTGCTTTGTGGGTTTACAACAACGCTGAGTTTAGGGATGAGGATTTTGAAAACATTACTAAACTCAACGGTGGCACAAAAAAACAAGAAACCGACAAAATTGGAAAGTTTGGGCTTGGTTTTAATACGGTCTATAATCTGACGGACGTTCCTATGTTCCTTAGCAGAAACTACTTTGTGATTTTTGATCCCAACACCTTTTATCTTGGAAGAGCCATCACAAACAAGAGCAAACCAGGAATAAAAATTGACGTCAACAAGAATCCGGAGAGAAAGCGAAGGCTTAGAAACCAATTCAAACCTTTCAATGGCATCTTTGGGTGTGATCTTCGTTTGAACAAAAAGGACAACTCATTTCAAGGTACCCTCTTTCGCTTCCCATTGCGAACTAAGAGGCAAGCTGTCAGAAGCGAAATTAAGCAAGATTATTACGGCCACAACCAAGTGAGGGAGCTATTAGAGATTTTCGTTCGCGGGGCGAAAACGTTGCTCTTGTTTGCGCAAAATGTCCGTCAAGTCAGCATATTTCATTTGCCGAGAGAGTCAACAGGGCAGACACAACCCCAACTGATATTTCAGGTGACCAAGGAATTATCACACTCAGGAATCATGAGAGAGTTGTCTGTTCCCATGAAGCTGTCATTGCATCAGAGCAATGTTAGCACAGACGACTTACAACTTTTAAAACAATCTAACTTTCTACGAGCATCATCGCAAGTTTTAAAGCATACTAAGGATATGAAGGAAACCAATGACTATTTACTGAGGTCAGCGATCACAATCAACGTAAAAGGCACCCTAACTGAAAGCGGACGCGTATTCTTTGAGGACAAAATCTCGCTGCATAATTCATCCGAGCTTTGGTTTGTTGCCTCATCGATGGGCAAAGGCCAAGCGATGCAGTTTTCAGTGAATGACAGGAGCTTGCTCCCAGCAGCTGCAGTTGCTGTCAGGTTGTTACCTCAGGAGAGTCAGAAGTTTGTACCGGAACCTATTGTCAGTCACGCCACTGGAGGTAAATCGCATCATAACGGTTCAGTGTTCTGCTACCTTCCACTCCCAATTCACAGTGGTCTCCCAGTTCATATAAATGGAACATTTGCAGTAGCTTCGAACAGACGCCATTTGAAGCAGAAAACAGAGGACGACAAAGCCTGCCCTGAAGATGAGTGGAATAATGTTCTGTTTCAAGATTCTGTATGTACCGCCTACCTAGATCTTCTGGAAGACATGAAAACTAATGCTACTACGTACTGTTTTCACTCTCTGTGGCCCAGGTCGTGTGACATAGAGCCATATTTTGAACCACTTGCGCGTTCGTTCTATCAGAAAGTTGCTAGTGGAGGCTATTCCCTTTTCTCAGATGGAGACACTTGGGTGGGCATCAATCAAGTGGTCTTTCTGGAGCCAAACTTTCGTCATGATCAACGGGTTGGAGACATATCAGTCGCAGTATTACAGAAGATGGTCATTGAAAAAGACGTTGTCGTTGATCTACCAGTAGAAATTTTACAGTCATTTATTGCCTATGGTCTTAGGGAGAAAATCCAATTGAAAGCCTACGACAGAAGTAGGTTTTTCCGTGAACTGTTTTTCCCAAACATTGGCTCCGTAACGGCAGACAAACGAGATGAATTGATGTTATTTGCATTGGATGACTCAAATGGAGAATTCGATGAATTAATAAAAACCTATGCCTGCATTCCGGCTTCACCCAGTGGTAAAATCCTCAAACGCCCAATGGAACTTGTTCACCCAAACAAATCAGCAGCCTCGCTATTTCATAGCGAAGATGAAAGGTTTCCTTATGGAACTACTAAGACCTTCTTAGATTCTGTGAGACTTGCAAAACTTGAAAAACTTGGAATGAAGGCTGAAAAGGGAATCACTGCAGATGATATCTACGACAGTGCCAACAATATTCGTCGAATGTTAAAGTCTTCGGAAGCAAAGCAGAAATCAGAGAACATTATGACGTTCTTAGAAAGCAATCCGATGATTCTTCGACAAAATGTTTCTGGGGAACCGTTAGCACTTCTTCTGCGAGATATGCCTTGGATATCTGTAATGGAGGAAATGCCCTATGGTTTACCTAGAAGTCTTTATTCACTTGTAAAAGATCAAGAAGTCCCTTTCTACAAGCCCACAGAGGTCACAAGTAACGATAAAGTAAATCTCGTTGGAACAGTGAAGCCAATTGTAAGAGCAGATTCATCAAGTCACTTGGCAAATTGTTTTGGCTGGGATAAAATGCCAGACGCATTGGACGTGGTGCAACATTTGAAAACTGTGGTCACTCACTATACCCAGGATAAAAAGCCCTATTACATTTCAATTGTCAAGGACATCTACTCCTTTCTAGATCAGATCGCCGATTTTGAAGTTATCAAGGAAGCTTTGAAGGGAATTGAAAACTCGATCTGGATTTGGAATGGAGATGGTTTTTCTTCTCCTGATGTGGTCCTTTCCGCAAGGCCTCCAATCGATCTTACTCCGTACATTTGTTCTCTTCCCTCAGAGGTGCTGCAGTTTTCAAACTTGTTTTCGAAGTTCGGAATGAGAGAGCATTGCGATGCTCTGCTTTTTGTACAAGTTCTTCAACTGATAAAACAGAAGTATGAATCTGGAGACGAGTATCCAAACACGGAGGTAAAAAGAGATCTCCAGTTATCTGTAGACATTTTGAATGAGATTAAGCCAAACGTTGGAGAACAACTACCTTCAGAGATTCAAGAGAAAGTCCTCATCCCAACACACGTAGAAGGAGATTCCTACGTAAGGCTTGCACCAATTAAAGATTGCATCTACTGTGACCGCGAGTGGCTAGAAGATGGTATACCTGCTGAAGAAGAAAATCATTGCTTTTTTGTGCATCAAAACATCTCAAATAGTACTGCAGAACTTTTACAAGTTCGTACTCTTAGAAATCAATTATTGGAAGCTGATGAGATAGGAGATGAATTTGGTCAAGAAGAAAAACTCACTTGCAGATTAAACAAACTTCTGGAGGAATACACAGATGGTTTCTCAGTACCAAAGGAACTAATCCAGAACGCAGATGATGCTGGTGCCACTGAGGTCAGATTTCTTTACGACGAAAGAACCAATGAAGATGCTATGACCTGTCTGATTGACGAAGGAATGAAAGAATGCCAGGGTCCTGCTTTGTGGGTTTACAACAACGCTGAGTTTAGGGATGAGGATTTTGAAAACATTACTAAACTCAACGGTGGCACAAAAAAACAAGAAACCGACAAAATTGGAAAGTTTGGGCTTGGTTTTAATACGGTCTATAATCTGACGGACGTTCCTATGTTCCTTAGCAGAAACTACTTTGTGATTTTTGATCCCAACACCTTTTATCTTGGAAGAGCCATCACAAACAAGAGCAAACCAGGAATAAAAATTGACGTCAACAAGAATCCGGAGAGAAAGCGAAGGCTTAGAAACCAATTCAAACCTTTCAATGGCATCTTTGGGTGTGATCTTCGTTTGAACAAAAAGGACAACTCATTTCAAGGTACCCTCTTTCGCTTCCCATTGCGAACTAAGAGGCAAGCTGTCAGAAGCGAAATTAAGCAAGATTATTACGGCCACAACCAAGTGAGGGAGCTATTAGAGATTTTCGTTCGCGGGGCGAAAACGTTGCTCTTGTTTGCGCAAAATGTCCGTCAAGTCAGCATATTTCATTTGCCGAGAGAGTCAACAGGGCAGACACAACCCCAACTGATATTTCAGGTGACCAAGGAATTATCACACTCAGGAATCATGAGAGAGTTGTCTGTTCCCATGAAGCTGTCATTGCATCAGAGCAATGTTAGCACAGACGACTTACAACTTTTAAAACAATCTAACTTTCTACGAGCATCATCGCAAGTTTTAAAGCATACTAAGGATATGAAGGAAACCAATGACTATTTACTGAGGTCAGCGATCACAATCAACGTAAAAGGCACCCTAACTGAAAGCGGACGCGTATTCTTTGAGGACAAAATCTCGCTGCATAATTCATCCGAGCTTTGGTTTGTTGCCTCATCGATGGGCAAAGGCCAAGCGATGCAGTTTTCAGTGAATGACAGGAGCTTGCTCCCAGCAGCTGCAGTTGCTGTCAGGTTGTTACCTCAGGAGAGTCAGAAGTTTGTACCGGAACCTATTGTCAGTCACGCCACTGGAGGTAAATCGCATCATAACGGTTCAGTGTTCTGCTACCTTCCACTCCCAATTCACAGTGGTCTCCCAGTTCATATAAATGGAACATTTGCAGTAGCTTCGAACAGACGCCATTTGAAGCAGAAAACAGAGGACGACAAAGCCTGCCCTGAAGATGAGTGGAATAATGTTCTGTTTCAAGATTCTGTATGTACCGCCTACCTAGATCTTCTGGAAGACATGAAAACTAATGCTACTACGTACTGTTTTCACTCTCTGTGGCCCAGGTCGTGTGACATAGAGCCATATTTTGAACCACTTGCGCGTTCGTTCTATCAGAAAGTTGCTAGTGGAGGCTATTCCCTTTTCTCAGATGGAGACACTTGGGTGGGCATCAATCAAGTGGTCTTTCTGGAGCCAAACTTTCGTCATGATCAACGGGTTGGAGACATATCAGTCGCAGTATTACAGAAGATGGTCATTGAAAAAGACGTTGTCGTTGATCTACCAGTAGAAATTTTACAGTCATTTATTGCCTATGGTCTTAGGGAGAAAATCCAGTTGAAAGCCTACGACAGAAGTAGGTTTTTCCGTGAACTGTTTTTCCCAAACATTGGCTCCGTAACGGCAGACAAACGAGATGAATTGATGTTATTTGCATTGGATGACTCAAATGGAGAATTCGATGAATTAATAAAAACCTATGCCTGCATTCCGGCTTCACCCAGTGGTAAAATCCTCAAACGCCCAATGGAACTTGTTCACCCAAACAAATCAGCAGCCTCGCTATTTCATAGCGAAGATGAGAAGTTTCCTTTTGGAACTACTAAGACTTTCTTAGATTCTGTAAGACTTGCTAAACTTCAGCAACTTGGTATGAGGGCTGAAAAGGGAATCACTGCAGATGATATCTACGACAGTGTCAACAACATTCGTCGAATGTTAAAGTCTTCGGAAGCAAAGCAGAAATCAGAGAACATTACGACGTTCTTAGAAAGCAATCCGATGATTCTTCAACAAAATGTTTGGGGGGATCCGTTAGCACTTCTTCTGCGAGATATTCCTTGGATATCTGTAATGGAAGAAATGCATTATGGTTTACCTAGAAGTCTTTGTTCACTTGTAAAAAATCAAGAAGTCCTATTCTACAAGCCCACAGAGGTCGCAAGTAAAGATAAAGTTAACCTCGTTGGAACGGTGAAACCCATTGTAAGAGTAGATTCATCAAGTCACTTAGCAAAATGTTTCGGCTGCGATAAGATGCCAGATGCACTGGACGTGGTGCAACATTTGAAAACCGTGGTCAGTCACTATACCTCGGACGAAAAGCAATATTACATTTCAATTGTCAAGGACATCTACTCATTTCTAGATCAGGCTGCCGATCCTGAAGCTATCGAGGGTGCTTTGAAAGGAATTAAAAATTCGAGCTGGATTTGGAATGGGGATGGTTTTTCGTCTCCAGATGCTGTCCTTGCTGAAAGGCCTCCAATTGATCTTAGTCCGTTCATCTGGTCACTCCCGTCAGAGGTGGTGCAGTTCTCAAACTTGTTCTCAAAGTTTGGGATGAGTGACCGCTGCGATGCGCAATTTTTGGTGCAGATTCTTCATGTCATCAAAAAGAAGTATGAATCGGGACGGAAGTATCCAACCCCGGACGTAAAAAGAGATCTGCAGTTATGCGCAGATATCTTGAATGAGATCAAGCCAAACGTGGGTGAACAACTAGCCTTAGAGATTCAAGAGAAAGTCCTCATCCCAACACACGTAGAAGGAGATGCCTACGTGAGGCTTGTACCAGTTAAAGATTGCATGTACTGTGACAACGAGTGGATAAAAGATAGCACAGCTGTCGAAGAAGAACGTCATTTATTTTTCGTGCATTCCAACATTCCAAATAACACAGCCGAGCTTTTACAGGTTCCCACACTTAGAAATCAACTTCTGGAAGCTGATGAGATAGGAGATGAATTTGGTCAAGAAGAAAAACTTACTTCCAGATTGAACAAACTGCTGGAGGAATACACAGATGGTTTTTCAGTACCAAAGGAGCTAATTCAGAACGCAGATGATGCTGGCGCCACGGAGGTCAGATTTCTTTACGATGAAAGAACCAACGAAGATGCTATGACCTGTCTAATTGACGAGGGTATGAAAGAATGCCAGGGTCCTGCTTTATGGGTTTACAACGACGCAGAGTTTAAAGATGAGGATTTTCAAAACATTAGCAACCTCAATGAGAGTTCCAAAAAACACGAAACCGAGAAAATTGGAAAGTTTGGGCTTGGTTTTAATACGGTCTACAATTTGACAGATGTTCCTATGTTCCTTAGCAGAAACTACTTTGTAATTTTAGATCCCAACACCTTTTATCTTGGAAAAGCCATCACAAACAAGAGCAAACCAGGAATAAAAATCGACGTCAACAAGAATCCGGAGAGAAAGCGAAGGTTTAGGAATCAATTTAAACCTTTTAATGGTATCTTTGGATGTGATCTTCTTCTGAACAAAAAGGACAACTCATTTCAAGGTACCCTCTTTCGCTTCCCATTGCGAACTAAGAGGCAAGCTGTCACAAGTGAAATTAAGCAAGATTATTACGGCCACAACCAAATGAGGGAGCTATTACAGATTTTTGTACGCGGGGCGAAAACGTTGCTCTTGTTTACGCAAAATGTCCGTCAAGTCAGCATATTTCATTTGCCGAGAGAGTCAACAGGGCAGACACAACCCCAACTGATATTTCAGGTAACCAAGGAATTATCACACTCAGGAATCACGAGAGAGTTGTCTGTTCCCATGAAGCTGTCATTGCATCAGCGCAATGTTAACACAGACGACTTACAACTTTTAAAACAATCTAACTTTCTACGAGCATCATCGCAAGTTTTAAAGCATACTAAGGATACGAAGGAAACCAATGACTATTTACTGAGGTCAGCGATCACAATCAACGTAAAAGGCACCCTAACTGAAAGCGGACGCGTATTCTTTGAGGACAAAATCTCGCTGCATAATTCATCCGAGCTTTGGTTTGTTGCCTCATCGATGGGCAAAGGCCAAGCGATGCAGTTTTCAGTGAATGACAGGAGCTTGCTCCCAGCAGCTGCAGTTGCTGTCAGGTTGTTACCTCAGGAGAGTCAGAAGTTTGTACCGGAACCTATTGTCAGTCACGCCACTGGAGGTAAATCGCATCATAACGGTTCAGTGTTCTGCTACCTTCCACTCCCAATTCACAGTGGTCTCCCAGTTCATATAAATGGAACATTTGCAGTAGCTTCGAACAGACGCCATTTGAAGCAGAAAACAGAGGACGACAAAGCCTGCCCTGAAGATGAGTGGAATAATGTTCTGTTTCAAGATTCTGTATGTACCGCCTACCTAGATCTTCTGGAAGACATGAAAACTAATGCTACTACGTACTGTTTTCACTCTCTGTGGCCCAGGTCGTGTGACATAGAGCCATATTTTGAACCACTTGCGCGTTCGTTCTATCAGAAAGTTGCTAGTGGAGGCTATTCCCTTTTCTCAGATGGAGACACTTGGGTGGGCATCAATCAAGTGGTCTTTCTGGAGCCAAACTTTCGTCATGATCAACGGGTTGGAGACATATCAGTCGCAGTATTACAGAAGATGGTCATTGAAAAAGACGTTGTCGTTGATCTACCAGTAGAAATTTTACAGTCATTTATTGCCTATGGTCTTAGGGAGAAAATCCAGTTGAAAGCCTACGACAGAAGTAGGTTTTTCCGTGAACTGTTTTTCCCAAACATTGGCTCCGTAACGGCAGACAAACGAGATGAATTGATGTTATTTGCATTGGATGACTCAAATGGAGAATTCGATGAATTAATAAAAACCTATGCCTGCATTCCGGCTTCACCCAGTGGTAAAATCCTCAAACGCCCAATGGAACTTGTTCACCCAAACAAATCAGCAGCCTCGCTATTTCATAGCGAAGATGAGAAGTTTCCTTTTGGAACTACTAAGACTTTCTTAGATTCTGTAAGACTTGCTAAACTTCAGCAACTTGGTATGAGGGCTGAAAAGGGAATCACTGCAGATGATATCTACGACAGTGTCAACAACATTCGTCGAATGTTAAAGTCTTCGGAAGCAAAGCAGAAATCAGAGAACATTACGACGTTCTTAGAAAGCAATCCGATGATTCTTCAACAAAATGTTTGGGGGGATCCGTTAGCACTTCTTCTGCGAGATATTCCTTGGATATCTGTAATGGAAGAAATGCATTATGGTTTACCTAGAAGTCTTTGTTCACTTGTAAAAAATCAAGAAGTCCTATTCTACAAGCCCACAGAGGTCGCAAGTAAAGATAAAGTTAACCTCGTTGGAACGGTGAAACCCATTGTAAGAGTAGATTCATCAAGTCACTTAGCAAAATGTTTCGGCTGCGATAAGATGCCAGATGCACTGGACGTGGTGCAACATTTGAAAACCGTGGTCAGTCACTATACCTCGGACGAAAAGCAATATTACATTTCAATTGTCAAGGACATCTACTCATTTCTAGATCAGGCTGCCGATCCTGAAGCTATCGAGGGTGCTTTGAAAGGAATTAAAAATTCGAGCTGGATTTGGAATGGGGATGGTTTTTCGTCTCCAGATGCTGTCCTTGCTGAAAGGCCTCCAATTGATCTTAGTCCGTTCATCTGGTCACTCCCGTCAGAGGTGGTGCAGTTCTCAAACTTGTTCTCAAAGTTTGGGATGAGTGACCGCTGCGATGCGCAATTTTTGGTGCAGATTCTTCATGTCATCCAAAAGAAGTATGAATCGGGACGGACGTATCCAACCCCGGACGTAAAAAGAGATCTGCAGTTATGCGCAGATATCTTGAATGAGATCAAGCCAAACGTAGGTGAACAACTAGCCTTAGAGATTCAAGAGAAAGTCCTCATCCCAACACACGTAGAAGGAGATTCCTACGTGAGGCTTGTACCAGTGAAAGATTGCATGTACTGTGACCACGAGTGGATAAAAGATAGCACACCTGTTGATGACTTAAGACATTACTTTTTTGTGCATCCAAACATTCCAAGTCGCACCGCCGAGCTTTTACAGGTTCGCTCACTTAAAAATCAACTGCTGGAAGCTGAAGAGATAGGAGTTGAGTTTGGTCAGGAATTAAAACTAACTTGCATATTAAGCAGTCTTCTAGAGGAATACACAGATGGTTTTTCAGTACCAAAGGAGCTAGTTCAGAACGCAGATGATGCTGGTGCCACAGAGGTCAGATTTCTTTACGATGAAAGAACCAACGAAGATGCTATGACCTGTCTGATTGACGAGGGTATGAAAGAATGCCAGGGTCCTGCTTTGTGGGTTTACAACGACGCTGAGTTTAAGGATGAGGATTTTCAAAACATTAGCAAACTGAATGACAGCTCAAAAAAACAAGAAACCGAGAAAATTGGAAAGTTTGGGCTTGGTTTTAATACGGTCTACAATTTGACAGACGTTCCTATGTTCCTTAGCAGAAACTACTTTGTGATTTTTGATCCTAACACCTTTTACCTTGGAAAAGCCATCACAAACAAGAGGAAACCAGGAATAAAAATCGACGTCAACAAGAATCCGGAGAGAAAGCGAAGGTTTCGGAACCAATTTAAACCTTTTAATGGTATTTTTGGTTGCGATCTTCGAATGAACAAAGCTGGCAACTCATTTCCAGGAACCCTTTTTCGATTCCCCTTGAGAACCAGAGCGCAAGCCATGAAAAGTGAAATTAAACAAGTTCATTACGACAAGAGCCAAATGAAGGAGCTGTTAGAGATTTTTGTGCGCGGGGCGAGAAAGTTGCTCTTATTTACTCAAAATGTCCGTCGAGTCAGCATTTTTCATCTGCTTGGGGACTCTTCGGAACCGATGCGGCTTAGACTGATGTTTCAGGTGACGAAGTCATTATCACGAACAGGCATCTGTAGGGAGTTGTCGTTTCCTTTAACACTTCCATCACATCTTGGAAATCTTTCCAAGGACGAACAGTACCTTTTAAAACAAAGCAACTTTCTACGAGCATCATCGGAAGTCGCGAAACATACTAGGGACTCCAAGGCAACCAGTAATTATTTGCTAAGGTCGGCGCTTACATTTAAGATTACAAGCAATTTTACCGAATGCGGACGCTTTGTCTTTGAGGATAAGAGCTCATTAGAGAGTATAGCCGAGGTCTGGTTTGTTGCTTCGTCAATGGGCAAAGGCCAAGCGATGCAATATTCGCTAAATGACAGGAGTCTGCTCCCAGCAGCTGCAGTAGCTGTCCAGCTGATAACCCAGGAGAATGACAAGTTTGCACCAAAACCTGTTGTCCGCCATGCCACTGGAGGCAAATCATATCACAACGGAACAGTGTTCTGCTACCTTCCACTTCCAATACACAGCGGTCTCCCTGTACATATAAATGGTGCATTCGCAGTAGCGTCGAACAGACGCGACTTGAAGCAGAAAACAGAGGATGACAAAGCCTATTCTGGAGTAGAGTGGAACAACGTTCTATTTGCAGATTCTGTTTGTGAAGCTTATCTAGACCTCCTTGAAGACATGAAGTCAAGAGCTACTATGTACTCTTTTCACACACTGTGGCCCAGGGAGTGCGACATGGAGCCATTCTGTGAACCACTTGCGCGCTCATTCTATCAGCAAGTTGCCACTGGCGGTTATTCCCTCTTTTCAGATGGAAACAGATGGGTTGACATTAGTCAAGTGGTCTGTCTAGAACCATCCTTTCGTCAGGATAGAGATGTTGGAGGCATATCGTATGCTGTATTACAGATGTTAGTCAGCGAAGACAAAGTTGTCGTTGCTCCCCCTGGGGATATTTTCCAGTCATTTGTCAAATATGGTCTTGAGGAACACATCCGGTTGAAAACCTACGACAAGGGCAGATTTTTCCGTGAACTGTTTTTCCCAAAAGTCCCGTCCATACCACCAGACATGCGAGACAAATTGGTCTTGCACGCTTTGGATGATGCCAAAGGAGAATTTGATGAGCTTATTGCAACTCATGCTTGCATTCCATCTTCACCTCATGGTCAAACGCTCAAGCGCCCCGCCGAACTTATTCACCCGAAAAAAGCAACGGCCTCGCTATTTCAAATTGAAGATGAAAGGTTTCCCCTTGGCACCGATGACACATTTCTAGATTGCGTAAGACTTACCAAACTCGAGAAACTTGGAATGGTAGCAGATGACCCCCCTTGGGGTATATTTGAAGAAAGGGCCAAAAGTGTCGACATTTTGAATGAAGAAAGTAGTATCGGGGCCTTAGAGCGTGCGAAGGCATTAATAAAAATTCTGGAAAGAAAGCTATACCCTGGAGCTGAAAGCAAAGTCCCCGAGGGTGTCCAAGAGAATCTTTTTCAAATCAAATTTCTTCCAGTTTCCACAAAACCACAACATTTTCCCCTTTTTTGGAAAGGGGGCGATCTACGTCCCGAGAAAAGAGCAAAATTGTTGTCACCCGAGGAGGCTTTTGTCGAAAGCGCGATGTATCTTGTTTGCTGTTCTGAGCCGCTCGTAGATGGTAACATCTATCTTTCTTCAACTGTTAAAAAGTTTTTACAGTTGGAAAAAAAAGCCTCAATTAAGCATATCATCAGCCAACTTGATGTGGCTTCTTTGTGTCCAATCGACAGTCTGAATTCAGTGCAATTTGAAGAAGTAAAGACTACCTGTTTAGAAGCTTACAAGTATCTTCAGGCAGCTCTGAATCAGAATCAAATAGAAGAAAGTGAAGTGCGAGAACTTTTTCAGGAAAAAAAATTCATTTTTGCCGGAAGAGAGTTTGTTGATACAACACATGTTGCTTTTGAATTGCCCGTTGACTGTTGCCCTTACCTACATAAGCTGCCTGAGGATCTTGCGAAACAGTTTGGCCATTTGATGAGAAGCGTTGGTGTAAGACAGGTATATGAGGCCAGCGATTTCCTCTCTTCCTTGGAACAAATAAAAAGGGCCTTTGGGGACGCAATACTTGAAAAGAAAATTCTCCAAGCTGCCGTTCATCTGGCTTGTCAACTGGGTAAGTGCCTCACAGATTGTTGCGTATCCGTTGGAAAGCAACAAACAATTTATTTACCTGACTCCCAAGGCATAATGAGACCTGTGAGTAAACTGTGCATCAAAGACTGCCTCTGGATTTCTGATGAAAAAGATGTTCACTATGCAGAGAGCATGATTCCCCACCCAATATGCCTTAAGTTGGGGGTAAAAACACGTCGAGCAGAAGCATTAAGCCGATGTGCGGTTGGAATTTCGTTTGGACAAAAGGAAAAGCTGACAAACCGTTTACAGGGCCTTCTTCAGGCCTATCCATGTGAAAAAGAAATTCTGAAAGAACTTCTTCAAAATGCTGATGATGCAGAGGCAACAGAGATTTGTTTTATTAAAGACCCAAGACAACATCCAGAAGAACGTGTTTTTGAAGATTCATGGAAACCACTTCAGGGTCCTGCATTATGCGTGTATAACAACAAGCCATTTACTGAAGCGGATATCAACGGAATACAGAATCTTGGAGAAGGAAAAAAAGGCGATGACCCCAACAAAACTGGCCAGTACGGCGTGGGCTTCAATGCTGTTTACCATTTGACTGACGTACCTTCATTTGTCTCATATAGCGAGGAGATTGGTGATGTTTTATGTGTTTTTGATCCAAATTGCAAGTACGTTCCAGGCGCTACCCAGTCGGAACCAGGCAGAATGTTCAGGGAAACAACGAAGTTGAGAGGCGATTTTGTAGATGTTTTTTCTTGCTATAACGAAGATCATTTTTCCTTACGAAACGCTACTATGTTCCGATTTCCATTAAGAACTGAGGAGATGGCAGACGATTCCGAGATATCTAATTCTCCTGTTACACTCGAAATTCTAGAAGGGATGATGGAGTCATTAAAAACAGAGCTCTTTGAAGTCCTTCTCTTCGTTAACAATGTTAAAAAGATTACAATGTGTGACATCGACGACAGTGGGCAAGTGGTGAACTCCTATTTCGTCGAAGCGGAAATGTCCGAGGAAGACTCATTGGAAAGGCAGACGTTTGCCTCCTACGTGAAACAAATTGGGAAGGCATTTAAAGAAAATCCTGAAAAGTCACCCATTCAAGCGGAGGTTAGGAAATGTTCCTACGTTCTGACCTTAAAAGACAGCATGGAGAGCGAAGAAAAATGGCTAATTGTCCAGCAGATTGGGTTTGAGAACCATGTGACAGAGAGGATTATCGATGCCTACAAAAAGAACGACTTAGGGATACTTCCTCGTGGTGGTGTCGCTTGTCTTTTAGAGCGTAAATCAACTTTAGCACAAAGTACAGAAGAAAAGAAGAAAGCTTATTGTTTTCTTCCGCTTCCTGTAGAAACAGATCTCCCAGTGCACATCAATGGTCATTTCGCGTTGGATCACGAGGCACGACGAAGCTTAGACTCAACTGGTGGCTATAAAACTGACTGGAACAACTTTTTATTGAGCGACGTTATAGCGTCGTGCTATATCACACTTCTGGACAAAGTAAGACGTTTTTTTAATTTCCCCGTTTCTCAGAGTCCCGAAGAAGTTACCCTCAGCTGTTGCAAAGACGAATTGGCAAAAAATATAAAAAAGTACGAAAAGCTGTTTCCGTGTGCGATCTCGAGCAATCAGTATTGGGCCACTTTGGTGAAGTCCGTGTACCAGGGAATGAACTACAAGAGGTTGCGACTTGTTCCAGTGTTACGCAGTTACGAGACACGTGGCTCTGCTCCAAACTGTCTGCTCTTGTGGCTTCCTCTAACTGGAAATGGGGCAGATAAAGCATTCTTCAACAATCTCGGTGAATGCGATACTTTTCGCCATGAATCAAAACAACGTTTAAATGAAAACAAGAAGAAATCAAAGATCTTTGACAAAACCCTCTTTGAAAACATTTTACTTCAAACTGGGTTTAACCTTGTAGCATTTTCTCTGTCCGTTTGTGAAGCGGCACATAAGTCTGGAGTCCAATCTTGCTTTGTCTCTCCTTCTGCGGTGATGGACTTTTACAAATCTTTCCGTGGAGAAACTCCTCTTTGTAGAATTGGATCACTCTTTGTTGATGTCAGCTATACACCTTTCAAAGATGTTCAAACTGTGGTCACAGTGCTCAAATACTGCAAGGAAAGTGAAAGCTTTCTAGGAAATTTACCAGGCCTGCCTTTACTCGTAACGCAAGACAACCATTTACAACCATTTAACGCTGCTAATCGCAAGTTTCTTTCTCGCCATCACCACATTCTTCCACAGTGCAAAGAAATGTTTGTCCATGACCACATTAGGACGCATATCTTTTGTGATGCCACAAGTCTGGAGGTCTCAGTGTTCAAACATTTTGATGTCGAGAGTTTTGCGGCTAATCTGTATCAAGCACTTCGTCAAGATAATTTGAACAGTAGCCAATTCGTAAAATGGAACCCAGATCAGGTTGCAGAGCCCAATGGTGGCTGGGTTTACCGTGTGTGGAGGTTCCTGGACGAACAAGTAGAGAATGTCCTCAAAGAAGAAAGAAACAAAAAAACTGAGAGGGCCAACTGCATTCAGGCAACTCATACATCACGCGAAGAGAGGGAGACGCGAATCACTCGAATAGTGCTTGAACCTCTGAGCAAGTGCAGCATCCTCCCATGCACAGAAACGACTTCTTTGCCAAAACCAACACAGGGTAGCGCCTCTGGAGTAGTAGCGGAGCACTATTTAGTACCTTTAAGCCTGGCTGATTCTGTCCTTGATTTCACCTCCTGTGATACTACAAGTAAACGTCTTGTTGATGCACTAAGAAAGCTTAGTGTTCCTGAATTGAACACTGATGTTTTGTCGTCAACAGTTGCTTCTGCGCATACGTCTTTAAACTCCTGGAGACCTGCACATCGACTAGTTGCAACGATTAATTCACCCAAACATCTCCTGTTAGCGCTATGTCAGAAGATAACTCGAAATCCGAGCTCTCTTCACGGGAAGTTGAGCGGTATCGAATGTTGTACCATTTTGGAGCATTTCAGCAACAGCGTGAAAGACCTGGACGAACGTGACATACAAGCGTTAAGACGACTTCCTCTTTATGAAGCAACGCATGGAGGACGAGTTACCCTAGATAACAAAAGCGTCTGTGTGGTTCCTATTGAAGTACCACATGACGGAATGAAAGTTTTAGAAAATGTGGGTGATTTTATCTTTTTGAAAAGCTGGTCGCGTCTTTCGCCGCTTTATGAATTTATGAAGTTTGAATCTGTTTCATCGGTTGATGTCTATTGCAAATTTATCTTGAAAAATTTTAGTCTATTTCCCGGTAAAGCAAGGCTAGTTCATCTTGAGCACATCCGTGACGGTATGTTGACACAAACATTTGCTAAGGAAGTTGACAAGCAGCGGCTTTTGTCTTGCCTGAAAAACACAGAAATCATTCCTTCCAGCAGAGGCAACCTAGTGAAAGCATCGTCGTGTTATGACCCTGAACATGTAGTGTTCAAAAGCATGCTTTCAGATGACATGTTTCCACCAGAGCCTTTTAACAGGGACTGGTTGCCGTTTTTAAAGTCTATTGGATTGATTCACGAAGTTTCTCAAGATCTCTTCAAGACGTATGCTCTGAAAATCGCACACGAAGGCAATACACAACCCACGAAGAAAACTGAGGATAAGTCAAGAGTTCTCGTTGCACACCTGTTTAGAAGAAATAAAGTAGTAGACGAAGGCCTGCTTCAAGCTATTTGCGATATTCGGTTTGTCCCTTCAGAGCCTGTTAAGCAAAACCTCCAAGCAATACATCGACCGTATGGTAAACGAGATGACGGTAAGGCAACGTATATTCCCTTTAGAGGTTCCGTACTAGCAAAGCATGCTAAACTAGTTTGGACAACAGCTGGTCTTCTTCCTCAGTGGGCAAATCCGAAGGAATATCAGTGTCTGATACATGCACCTAACAGGGGGAGTACAGAACATTACAGCAACGCAATAACGGCACAGCTAGGGATTTTAGCGGAGCCAACAGTTGAGCGTGTTACTTCCCATTGCCAAAATGTGTCGTTCCAACTAGAAAAAGAAAACGACAGAGATTTAACTGAGGAGCAGATTATGAGAAGAATGACAATCATGAAAAAAATCTACAGATTTTTGGAAGTTAAGGCTACCTCAAATTCTTTTGCGAGAGACCGACTGAAGGACACGCCGTGCATTGTAGTTGAAGAAGGTAGACGTTTTGTTAGAGTTGAACAAGTGGTCATTGAATTGAACAGGGAATTTGAGATTCAGCCATTTCTCTATGGTTTACCTGCGGAACTAGTTCAGTGTAAAGTCTTGTTTCAGTATTTGGGCTGTGCCTCTGTAGCAAAGGTCTCTCACTTCGCTATGGTCTTAGATATGCTTAAAGAGAAATGCAAGGAGAAACCTCTAGATCCAAATGAGAAAATGTGCGCTTTAACAGCTGAAAGAGGTATTTTTGAAACATTGCAAAATCACTCGCATGGTGGCCACAGTTTATCGTCACTTAACCTGCCAGCTACACTTCCATCAACTAAAAAAGATGAGGAACCTTCCCTGCCTGTCGTGTTGTCGAAATCAACAGAGATTCTATTTGATGATGCCCCATTTTACCATGAACGCATTACAAAATTTGACCATCTCTTTCTGGTTGATCTTTCATGGGCCAATGTCCGTTGTAAAAAGGGCTTAAATTACAAGGATCTTATCATGCAGCTTCCCCCAGCGGTGCGTCCGGAAATGTTGTCCTCTGCTGTCATTGAGAAATTCACTGATTTCTTTGAAAGGGGAGAGAGCTTTGATCATGGCGCAGCGAGTTTGCTAAAAAGGGCAGTTCACTCACCACAATTCTGTCGTGGTATCATCAGACTTATTCGTCACGGAAGCCGCGAGAACAAGGAAAAGATAGATGAGAGTGTCGTTGCCACCATAGAAAACAGATTGCAAAGTATCGAGATTCATGGAATGGGTAAAATTATTACTCAGCTACTCTACAAAGGAATCACAATTCCAGGAAGCGAGATGGAAAGGCCATACTTTTTGGAAAAGGTTAGCAAGTCCAGTGAAGAAATTTGGAATGTATATGTCAATTCTGCAGACGATGCACAAAAAACTTCATCTGCAATAGCTCTGACTTTAGCCAAGGTGATATCAGAAGCATGTAAAGGACTCTTGAGAGACGCGGCTCTGTACATTCCCACGATGTTGCAAAGCCAGCCAGAACAGATTTCCTCTTTTCTGGATATGATGAAGATACATCAAGATGATTCCTATGATAGAGAGAAAGGAGAGATCTTACCACCACCAGGTAGTTTCATTCCAATTGCCGAACAACACCTTCTCAATGCGGCCTTTTCGTATTTCAAACCTGGTGAATATGTTGGATACGAAGTTGAGGATCCAAGTCTACAACTTAAAGATGGAGATGCAACCTACATTTATGCTGTGATAATCGAGGAATTTTCAAATCCCAACACCAGTCTCATTACGAAGTCGTACAAGATCAACATTGGAGACAACAAACCACCCAAAATTGTTCCAGCAACTGAGCTCTACAAATTTTACCGTCTTCAGGAGATAGCATCAGCTGCTCTCGTTCCATCATTTAATCGAGGGACAAACATGGATAGCAAACATGAAATAATGAAAGAGATCACAAAAGCACTAGAAGAGGCTTGGAGACTACCAGAAGACAGAAGAAGACAAGTTGTCAAACGACTGTTTCTTTTTTGGCACCCCGACAAAAACCCAGGAAATGAGGAATTCTGTACCGAGGTTTTCCAGCACATAAAGAATGAAATTGAATGTTTGGAGAGGGAAGGTTGGGGTAGAAGTGAACGATACGGTGGTTCATATGGTGCTTTCTTTGGTTTTTGGGGGACACGTGCAAGAGAGTACAGTTCTCGCCGCCGAGAGTACCAAGAAACATACCATCGACATTATGGATCATGGGGACACGGAACGCGAACCTGGGAAGTTCCTCCTAGCTTCAGTGGAACGAATCCTCAACCAGGACAAGCGAGGCGCTGGTTTAGACAGGCTGAAGCTGACCTCAACTCCGTTGTGAACGACATTCATACTGGCAATACGTCCTACGAATGGGCCTGCTTTAAGTGTCATCAGGTTTGAATTGAAGTATTTACTACTGAGCGTACAGGTGATTTTATTACCAATAAAAGTCTATTTCTTTTCATGTTTCCCTTTTCAATGTTATCGTGGAAGGCTGATTGTTATGTGATTATAGGCCGCAGAAAAAGCGCTGAAGGCTGCACAGTACGCAACAGATGCCTTTAAGAGCAACGTTCATAACCTCGTCCAGAACTCCTTGATGCTAGATGACCCTCGACTGGTAACTATTTCAAGAGAGCTCGAGGGATGTTTGGGTGATTCAACGAGCATGCGCTACCCTGATCGACTGGACTATCCAAAGATTCCAAGAGATGTCTACACAGAACAGCATGCCCATCAGGCATTGGAGGCAGCGAGGGAGATACTACAAATTGTTAGGAGCAGAGTGTCGTAAGGTAATCGTCAGTTAACCAAGCTAATATCTGACGTAATCATTTAACTGCTGAGAAACAGCAGCATATCGCATTTTGTCAAAACGTTACATATGAACTAGTTTACTAGGATACGCTGATTTAAGAAGGGTTTTAGAGCTTTTTAGCTGTTGTTCCTAGACGGAGTGGGACTTCCCAGACTTGGACATCTGTTGAATGACTCTCACAATCCACCAGCTATATCATGGACACCAATTTGTTCTGCGCATAAAAAAATTCTCTTTGTTTGTTTTACATCAGGATTCTTCCAACACTGTCTTCACATTGGAGACGATCAGGAGGAGCAAACTTTCCAAGATACATTGCAGACGTCTTAATCTATATGCCTTTTACCAAAATATTTTAGTAATAGCTAAGGTTAATTAGATATTAAAAGCAAGATGTTACGCATTGCTCTTCAGAGCAATATGTTGCGTATGATTATTTGATATCATGACGATGGGGCACTAAAAATAGCGACGAACCGTTCAATGCGTAAACCCAAATGAAGCTGTTTCCACACTTCGTTTATCCCGAGAAGGGTATATTTGTAATATTTACGTTTATTGTAGAGGATATGGAATTGTTTAACGATTTTTACTGTACCTAAATTAACCACAGTGATCTTCAGTTATTTTCATTAAGTTTTTAGTGACTTCTAATTAATGGTCGTTAAGCGTGTTGCCAAGTTAACTAGCAAGTAAAATACATTAGAACCTTCGTTGCAGTGTCTTGAATGCTGCCAAAAAAAGAAGAATTTCAAAGAAACATAGAGGCAACTGCCATTAATATGTGCAAAAGAGCTCATTTGGATACCTTTGTTATTTGTTCGACATTTCTTTCTGTCTTATAGTGTAGCTTCTACTGAAAGCTGTTGATGAAAAGTTGAGTTAAAGTATAATTAGGGGACTTCAAGGCTTTTCTCGACCTCATCAGCACCTTCATCAGCACCTTCAAAATTTTGCTCTGGTTGACAGTTACATTAGTAATTATCTACGAAAGCAGAGGAATTAGTTTTCTGTAATTTCCATCATAAATCTGGACACTTATTTTTAAGTATTGCGTTGTCTAACATCCGATTCACCGTCGGTACTCTTACCAAACGAACAACATAAATTTATGTCGCAGCTAAGTAAAATATCAAGTAGTGTATGTTCAGGGGGTTACGTTTTAATAAAAATTGTACAGTTGCTATTGTCCAGGTCAGCTATTGCTTTGGGTTTTCCCCAGGGACAAAATGAAACCTTTTAAACAACTTAAGCTTCTGCCAATATCAAGTAGTGTAATGTTCTTGAGTAAGGATTTTATTAATTTCCTCAAACTTAAGGCTTTCGATCTCAAGGGGCAAAAAATCTGTACGAAATAGTCAACGACGTGTCCGCCATAGGCGGGTGTCCGTAAAGCCGGGTTCAACTGTATTTTCTTTTTGGGTAACAGCCAAATGCAAGGCAAATAGCTAACGCACACAGTACCCAAGTGCGAGACGAAATACTGGACTTACTCATTCTACATAACTCTACTGAGATTTTAAAGTATAAAATAGGTCGATTTGGCATTTTGTCAGTGAATGCAGTAACGCGGCTATAAACAGGCTTAATACGCAATGCGAAGAACATTGAATCATTAAAATAGTTATTTATCTCTAAAAACAAGCATTTTGTTAAATTTCAAGAATAGCTGGAAACCTTCTAAAAATGTTTTCCATTTTTGTTGAAAGAAGAGATATCGTCAAATCTGCTACAAAACACCAATAATTTAAACGAGAGCTCACTTGAAACTGTTCAAGATTCGTGTGATATACATATAACTTAAGATAGGCACTCTTCTTGTCCCGTTTGCCATCTCTCTTCTTTCCGATTTGGACTAATAGAAGTATAATACGCCTAAAGGTATCCTTGAAGGACGGACCATCATTCAGTAAGTAGAGTCAACGACGGCACGAGAGCATGAAATTGTGTCTTTATCAAATATTCTTTTGACCCCCGCGGAACGACCACAACGTGAAATGTGACTTCTTAATTCTATGGTGAACACACTATTACGAATTTTCAATTATTTTTTTGGAACTTGGATAGAGTCCAAAATCAATCATAGCTGCTTTGAGCTTCCTTCCGACTGGCCTTAAAGCCTTACATGTAGTTTTTTTGTTTTGTTTTTGTTTTTTTGCCTTACATGTAGTAACACCTAGGGGACCGTTCACTCCTGGTACCCGAGCACTAATTGACACCTCAAGTACCCGCTATGTAACTGTGTACAATATTTTATCCCTTTCGCAATGCAAGACTCCATGTTTAAATTATGAGCAAAGTAGGGAGTTATGGGTATGAAAGGCAGCGGACCACCTCGGAACTTAAAGAAAACGTGTGCGTGGCGCCCATTTTAGTGCCTACGACCTTGTACTCAGGAGTCGACACCTTGCCCGAAATCTGGCGTGGGTACTTAAAAAAGGGTGCGTTCACACTAGTTCCCGGGGAGTACTTCTTAAGGGCACAAAGAGTGGACACTCTCTTACAATACGCAAGCATAAGCTCAAGCGACCTAAGCAACTACAGTAACATACTATCTGCTCTAGACCATGTCACGTCCAGACGAATCAGTTAAATTAAACGCAAACAAACTTACACGTTTAAGGCTGTCCACACGAGAATAATTACAAAATTCAGTTCTGCGTACAGGCCTGTCTACGAACCTGTACTAAAAATGATCGTTTCCATCATTCACCCGTGAACAAAATGCGTAAGCTTGAATGCGTTTAAAAACTTTTAAATATCTGACTCGTGTGAACCGACTTATAGAGCAAAGGTGTTGCAGGTGTACTTGAGAGCACTTGCCTTCTAACAAATGGCTCGACTTTAGTCCCGATGGCGACGCCACTTGTTGGTTGGGTCTGTTGCCATGACAATAGGCCCTTTTGTAGCTAGTCATCCACGTGATACAAAACCGCCATGCTAAAGAGAAAGGGGCACACTAGGACAAGATAAAGAGAGAACTCAATTCATTTTAAAAAGCGGTCATTTCCTTTGTTTGTCTTGTCCCAGTGCATCTATTCCTCTCCAGCATGGCGGTTTTGTATCACGTGAACAGGGAGCTTGAGCAACAACGACAGCGACGGCTACGAAAACGTCACTTGAAAAGTGAAGTCGCGCTGCTTCAAACTTTATCGCGCTTATTTCATCTCGTTCACATCGTCAAATGTTGGAAATTTTTTTTCTAGAGTTAAATTCTAAAAGATTGTATCAAAGTTCAGAAAGTTGTTGCCTTGTGTTCACGTCCTCGACAAAACGTGAAATTATGCATTTTCACGTCCTAGACGTGCAGTGACGGCAAAGAAATGTAGGAAAAAGCGTGATGCACGTGCAGGGTTGTTGTTTTGTCAATCTAAACCTAGGCCTATTGCTTTGTTTTTTGCCGTTTTCGTTGACGTCATCGTCGTCGTTGCTTAAGCTCCGTAATAACTAGCTACAGAAGGTTAATCAGTAGATCTCGCATATGGTTTAAGATGACGAGTCACTTCCTAAATGTGCTACTACAA